AGATAGATAGATAGATAGATAGATAGATATTTGTAAGTACATCAATGGTGGTATCTTCTGGCCTTCACTGAGTAGTTCTTGCTGCCTTTTTAATCTATTCATAGAATCTGAGTGGATCAGGTCTGTGAGTGTCATCACATTTGTCTTGCTGTAATCATTTCCAGCATGAGGAACATTTGAAGGAGAAGCTAGAGGTGAAATTGATGGGCTTATTATACCCTTTGTGGAATTCCAGACTTTTATCAAACCTTGACTAATAATTTGTCCTTTTACATTTTTACCCACCTTTGTGTCTCTGTACCATAAGTGCCCATGAAGTCCATTGGCTGAACCAGCTGCTTCCAAAATTGCCGTTCTGCTCTCTGGGAATTTTATCTACTCTGTTATCCATGCTTTATGATAGAGTTTTAGATTTGGAAGGCAAGACCACCCTTGTAGGATTTTTTATTTGATTCTGGGTCCTTTCCCACTCCGTATAAATTGATTGACGGTTTCTTGGTGTTTTTGTTCTTGAAAAGTTCTCTCTGAGATTCTGGTTGTTGCCATTTTAAATAAATAGTTTATCTTAGGTAGTAGATTCATTCTGATGATTGCAGTTGATCCTAACTGAGATAACTTTAGGGTCCTCCATCTTTCATGGTCTCTTTTAATCTCTTGCCATAATTTAACATAGTTCTTTTGATATATTTCTTGGTTGTTTCCTGTCAAGTGGAAACCAAGTTATTTCTCTGAGTGGGCTCTCTGACAGCCAGATTCTTCTTGCAAAAATTAATTTCTTGTGTTAAAAATCTAGTGATTATTTTTTAAATTTTTTTGAACATTAATTTTATATCCAGAATATTCTCCATAATTATGAATTGTTTCATTAACTTGCTTATTGCTTTTTGTGGTTTTGTGGTTCTATGATGGTTAATACTGCATCATCTGCCGAGCATGTAAGCCTACATTCCGCTCTACAAATGTAAAACCTTTTATTGATTTATTATCACCTCTAAACTTTTCTGCTGGTATTTCTAACACAACAATAAACAGTAAGGGAGAGAGTGGACATCCTTGCCTTGTTCCTTTACTGATTTGGAAATCAGCAGAAAGTGCTCCATTGGCCGTAATCTTTGCTTTTTGCCGTTCATATATACCATTAACCGAAGGTTCAAATTCTTCTCCAGGGTTCATTTTATTCAGCACTGCTAGAATGAATTACCACTGCAAATTGCCAAAAGCCTTTTCCATATCCAAAACTATTAGTGCAGCTTTCCTCCTCCCCCTCCTCCTC